AATAAACAGAAAAATAGAAGTATTCTTTGTGATAAGGAACTTGGGCTGATGTACAGATGCAATCATGGATCAGTAAAAAAAAAATCCAATCCAAGTTCGATCTACCAGATCATGCATGACTACGTACTGCTCTCTCCATTTCATATTACAAGTTATTTTTGGTTTGTTGAAAGGCAAACCTATTTAGGTTTGACAGAATTGTAGAAATATATAGCATCAGTTTACTCAAAAGAATATTCAGCTGATATTATAACGAACAGTCTCCAATTTGAATTCCAGAAGGCACGTGCTATTTTAAGTCATTCAGAAGATTGGTTTTTCTTCTCATCTACAACGACACCGAATCTAGACTCATAAGAACTTTGGATACTCCATCGCCCAATCCAATAAATTTCAGGCGTCAAAAGATGCGCATCCACAAAACGAAAACAAATTAATGCTGCACATCTCTATCATCGCATCTGCGACTATTAATTTAGCGGCCTAGTTAGGACACACTCGATTTTGTTTGAAATAACACTAGCACGGGATCAGTCATCTCAATCGGGCAGCAAGACTCATCTCCGTCGGCAAGGGCTCCCGTCAACAAGCAAATGTCACTGATGTGAGAAAATATCTCAATCGAGCATTTGACCATCACGGATGACAGTTATCTTAATCGGGCCAATAATAACGCCCGTCGAAGATAGGTTTGACCCAGCAGATGAGTCAAACTATAATAGTTAGGCGTCTGTCACGGATGACTAATCTCAATCAATCAGGTTTACTGCTATGCTCGTCACGGATGATATTTATCTCAATCGGGCCTTAAACACAAGCCTGTCACGGATAGGCCGGCTTGACCCAGCAGTTGAGTCACTTTTATGAATTATGTTTTTCTTGGAAAAAAGAGAAAAAAAATCATCCCTTTCAACCTCCCACCAAAATAATGAACAGTAGGATAACTACACAGAACAACATGGTGGAGTATTTATAGTGTGTGAAATACATATCGGTTACTGCCAATGAATGGACAAAGGTAACAGGCACTCAATTATCTCAATCGGGCATATTACTAAGCCCGTCGCCGATAACAGACATCGGTGACGGGCCTTAAATTAATCTCAATCAGGCTTAGTTTTAGCGTCCGTCACCGATAACTATCATCCGTAATGGGCTTATGTTTGTGGCCCAACAAAGATTATAAAGATAATTACAATCGGTCCTAAACGTACGTCCGTCACAGAAGAGTCTTATCGGTGATGGGCTCTAGATACATGCAACTCGATTATGTCTGTACGAGTATATATTTGACAGTGTTTATTTTGCCCCGATTGAGATGACTAAGTCGTGACGGCCCCCAAAACCTAGGCATTTGAGAGGCCGTCACAGCTGTGAGAGAATCTGTACCAGTCTAAATAATTCAGTTGAACTTGCATGTTTCTCAGGCATTGTTTAGATGGATCGTATTATTTAAGCACGGATTGTAAAAGCTATTACGCATCATGGCATATTATGCGCCTTTATTCAAACCCCATCCGATCTATGCAACTTTATTAATCTAATCTCACTTGAAGTTATATGATGAATTATTAATAAGTTGAAGCTAATATAGAGTTCCTTTTCATTTTGGTTAGTATAATTAAAAAAAGTGATGTATTCACCATATGATTAGAGTATTGATATTTATAGTATTAGTAGAAATAGTCCGTGCAACGCGCGTGTTAGCGACTAGATAAGTATAATACCTCTAGTTTATGTTTAATGTGGTGGATCACTTTATATAAGTCTATAATCTTCCACCGTATCTCATCGTGATCCAATCTCCATGAATATGCACGACATGCAATTCGAGAACTCCAACATCCAACCTGGAAGGTGGAAGCCGCTCAATCCAGTCATCGCCCTATATCCTAGCTAGTGGGCGGAGGGCGCCGATTAACTGCATCGACGACGCACCCATGGATGATGCACCTGGAGCAACAAAGATCGGTTGCACATCGTGCAACCTGTTAGGGTTTGGTGAAGGGCGAGATCCGTTTGATCCGTTTTCTGGGCACGCCGGCCGCTTGATCTGTTGAAGATCTCCTCATCTGTTCCAGTGAAAGACACGGGTGGATTGAGTTCTGCTACTGTTGGTTGCAGTACCTATAAATTCTGTAAGCTGAATCGCCGTGGTTGCTGAATTTTTCAGATTCCACGTGATCACAATACTAGAAAATATTTTTGCAAACGGGTCAAAAACATTTTTCCAGGCCGGGGAAAGGACTGCCTCAAAGCAAAGGCCCGTAAAATTAGATGATTTTTACAAGAGGATGTAAGCTCCGTCCGTAGGCGGGCATCTATACTTTCATAGGCCGGCCTCCCCCATCGGCCCTCCTTCTCTAACCACCGGCTCTCCTTGCCCTTCGGCCCCTCCTTCTCCGTTCGCTACAGCCACCGGCGGCCAGCTCCCCTCCTTCAGCGGGATCTAGGAGATGGGAGGGAGGGGAACGCTGCCTCCACTGCTTTCGTTGGATCCCCTCCTCCTTTCGTCAATCCGCCACCGCCAGCTGACTACATTCCTCCGGCCATATCTAGGACAGAGAGAGGGAGGCAGGGAGGGGAGCGGCGCCGACCACTGTGACCGTCCCTCCGCTGCTGTTGTTCGCCGCCTCCACCCACCGTGCTGTCGCCGGGTCTGGGAGAGAGGGGAGGGGAGCCGCCTACTGTGGCTGCCGTTAGCTCTTATCCTAGTCGTCGCGCGCCTCCACACTACCGATGGCCGCCGGCTCTCCTTCTAGTCATTGTGCGCCTCCATGCTGCCGGTGGCTGCCGCCTCCACCCTCCACGCCGCCGGCTCTCCTCCTGGTCGCCAGTGGCCGTCGTCTCCAACCTGTGCACCATCGGCTCTCCTCGTGGTCACAGCGCACCTCCCCCCTTCTTCCCCTCCCGGCAAGATCTGGGAGGGAGGGAGGGAGAGGAGCAGCTGCCGCCACCAGGAGCAGCCTCCGCCACCGCCCTCCCCCTTCCCCCCTTCAGCCGGATCTGCGAGGGAGGGGAGGCGAGCCGTGCCGGGGTGCGTCGCCATCTCCCTCTGGCCGGATCTGCACCGGGGATAAGGAAGGAGAGGTGGGCGGGAGAGGTGAGGGGAGGGAGAGTTGGGAAGGGAGAGCCGGAGAGGTGATGGAGAGGAACTTAACGATTTTTGGCTGGGCGTAAGTGGCGTTTTTAAGATGCTTAACCCTTTTGCAGGCGGACCTCTTAATAGATCTACGTGCAAAAATCTATTTTCTCAGTCGTCCCACAGTTGTCATTTTCGTAGGGAGCCATTTAGCTATAAGAGGCCTACCCACCTAGAAAAAAAGTTATCATCTGAAAAACTGGTTTTTTTATATCAATTAACTGCTGTTGATAAATTAATCGGGTTGGTCTTGGATACATGCATGAGACACTCGTACGCTACATATATATTTGCTGGTTATTGAAGTTTGCTCTGGACTTGGTCGTGTCTCTGCTCTGGATAAATCTTGGTAGCCTGACTTCAAGTTCTATGCAACTACACATATATACACTGCTGGTTGATTTTGCTCTTTGTCTAGCCGAGTTATTTACAGCGATATATATAATTTGCTGTTATTTGGTAGCGTGAAAAATCGGGAATACATGGGATATATATTCGGGCACCATGACTCATCAGTGTGGGACATCTCGGCCCAATTATAATTTAGCTTATGTGGCCTATGACAAATATGTGCGCATGTTTAAATATTACCTTACTCCTTCAGTAAGGATGGAACCAACTTATAAGACCGAATGAAACCAACTTATAAGCTCTCTTCTCTCCAACTATATCATTCATGTGTTAAACTTTTTACACGAAACGAGAATAAAAAGTGTAAGTTGTGTGCTATCTGTAAATGGATCTACCGTTAGTTGTACTGGGCTGCGTGGTTTCGGAGGACGGACTATTACAAGTGGTCAATTTTATACACCCTCCGCCACGTTTTAAGTGCAGTTGTGGGTTTCCGTATCTAATGTTTATCCATCTATCATATTTTAGAAAATTAAAAAAAATAAGTCACGCATAAAGTATTATTTATATTTTATCATCTAATAACAAACAAAATACTAATCATAACAAAAATTAAATAAGACGGACGATCAAATGTTGGACACAGAAACCCACGACTGCATTGAAAATGGGATGCACGGAGTAGGCGTTGCTTCATGTCACATCGGTCTTGGTGATGTACTATTTGCCATCACATTTTTCGCTTGGCTGTCTTGGCATCTTATGCTCTTCTTGGTTGAACCTCTACACATGTTGGACCGGTGAGTATCAAAATACAGAAAAGTATCAAGTCGGTGGGGATTGGACATGTTTTGTCCTCTCCATGTACTCCCTCCATCCGAGTAAAAGTCGACTCCTGGAATTCCAGGAGAAAATTAGCACAAGCAGCAAAACTTCTCTGAAAGCTAATAGTACTCCAAACTAGTATGATCGAGTGTGAACACAGGTGTTTTTAATCTATTTCCCGCCTACCGATGTGAAGAGCCCGTTGGAAAAACCAACGTCCACGTCAAGATCAGTCTCTTTTCTAAGAGCAGAGCTAAAAAAATGGAAATTCCAATGATTCTTCGTTCATTAGAATGTCGATTCCTCACAATCGATCACTCTTTGTGATGCTGCCAAACCATGGCAATTAGGATCTCAAGACGCTGCAACACCTATGATGCAAGGAATCATTGACTTACATCACGATATCTTTTTCTTCCTCATTCTGATTTTGGTTTTCGTATCATGGATGTTGGTTCGCGCTTTATGGTATTTCAACGAGCAAACTAATCCAATCCCGCAAAGGATTGTTCATGGAACTACTATCGAAATTATTCGGACCATATTTCCTAGTGTCATTCTTTTGTTCATTGCTATACCATCGTTTGCTCTGTTATACTCAATGGACGGGGTATTAGTAGATCCAGCCAGTACTATCAAAGCTACGGCTAGAGAAGTCAATAGCATCGAATGCTTCTGGTGAAGTTGGTTTTTTACGGCACAAAATCCCTCCCCTCACTAGAAATCGTCTTTGAATCCAGGATGACTAGTACACGCATCCAACCAAATTGATTTACATTCTACAGGGAATTTCTGTCGATGTCTTGCAAGAGAGAGGAGGCATTGACGTACGTGAGACGCCTATGACTAATTGACTATGAGTCAAGGAATCTGCATCCAATGCAGAAACTTCTCTTTATCTTTTTTCCCCCTTTTTTTTTCCGATCAAAAGGTATCACCATACAAGCATGCACGGTGGTACTCCTATATAAATAAAGCAGGCAGTTCATGTTCCCTAGCAACTGAGCTCGAAACAAAACTAATTATAAACAACACATCAAACATGGGTATGGGCACACAAACAGCTGCACCAAGACCTATGTTCTTCGCTGCCCATGTAGGAGTACTTAGCACGGTAAAGATCTCTCCGTGCCCATCAACCATTAGGCCTAATAGGTCTCGGGCCTGCAGGGTTCGGGTGGCGGAGAGCCTGAGTCCGTCTATTGCTTCCGGTGATCCTAATGCTCCTGAAAAGTTGTTCTACTTCGAGCCCTCGGTCTGGGTGAACTTCTTTATCAACCACAACCCGCGACCTCTCCAGGCATGGATGCATATATATATTAATTCCATTACTATTACTATGAATTAAATAGGAAGGTATATATAATAGCCCGCGCGTTTGCATGGGCATCGTGTTAGTTAACTAGTTGATACCCCGCGTTTTGCTGCGGGATATGTGGATTAATGCATATTCTATGTTATAGAAAATGGTAGATGTATATGTTTAAATAATGTGAAAATGATGTGGAGATAATGATTTGACATTGCTTGCATATGGAGTTATAAAAATACAACAAAATTGCAAATCATATGTCATGTTTACATGATATTTAAAATACTCTAATAGATAATAATTGCTAGTGGATGATGATATAGTACACTTATATGTGATTTAAAATACTCTAGCTAATAACTGCAAGTGGATGATGATGTGGCACACTTGCATGTTAAGCTTTAAGAGTTAGCTGAACAGGTTAAAAATTTAAGTTCGAGGTGTTTTCCATTTTTGAATTGAATCTTCAATGTCTTTCTTTTTTCTTGAGAAATGATGAGATAATTTTATTGCTACAGAATAATCCCTCCATCCAAAAAAAAATCAAGCTGGGAGGGGTTAGTCCAAATTCGTTGTCCTAGGAGAGGTCTCTCCTAGGTTGATTTTTTTTATGGAGGGAATATATCTTATTTGTACCATCATGTTATTAACCCCTCTCTTTAATTCGTTCATATGCATGCAAGCTGTTTTGTGCTTGCAAGTCAATAAAGACGGAATAAATGTACAAATTAAATCTTAGATGCTGATAACATGAGTCTTAAAATATAAATTTAATAGGAAGAAATTTAACTTTTAATCATGCCATGATAAGAAAATGTACTTGTAACACCCTAAGGGTGTGTTCGGAATCCCCTTTCCCAACTCACCCCTCTCTTTTTCCACGCGCACACTTTTCAAACTGCTAAACGGTGCGTTTTTTTTAAAAAAAAGTTTCTATATGAAGTTGCTTAAAAAAAATCATATTGATCCATTTTTGAAAAAAAATAGCTAATACTTAATTAATCATGTGCTAATGGACTGTTCCGTTTTCCGTGCAGAGAGTTTAGTTACAAATTCCCCACAGTGAACACACCCTAGGTATCCACATAACTAGAATGCCACCCAACAAATAGAAAAGAACCTCTTTTTTCAGAATTTGTTCTTTTAAATCAAAATACTTAATTTAATCGTGGGGTATTACATTATTCCCTTAAATTCATCCTTAAACTCATTCGTTCATTCTAGAACTTGAGTCAGCAAAACAAGAAAAAACATATTTCTCAAGCGGGAATACTCTGTAAGCATGAACAATGTTAGACGTGCAAAGCAAAGGTAAATTCCATGTTGTATCTAGAAAGTCACTTCTTCTCGAGGTAATAACACATGCTTCACACACCAAGACAGAAACTTCTTGTTAACTAATAATAGAAAAATATAAACCTCAAGTAACTATTTTTTTTGCCAGTGGCATTAGAATTCATGTGGGACATGAATAAATCTGTGGAAATATTAAGTTTGGAATAATCAAGAAATTGGTTTAGTTGAAAGGAGAGCAACCAAATTGTCAAACACAATACTGACACAAGGCCAGGTTAAAGAAAAGAAACATTCTTCATAAGCTCATTCATGAGCTTTGAAAATATTTTAGAAAATACAAAGGATAGGAGTTTAGTGAGTTCACTGAGTCTTCATCTCCTCGTATGTATCAAAGCAAAAATTGACTTTATGAACAGAAATTAGTACAAAAATTCTAAAAGAATTAGGACGTAATTAAATCAGTCTTTTCACAATAGTGAAGGGAGTAAACTGATTCAATTGTAGCCTACGGGCTAAGTGCTCAACTACCCGGCTTTAGTACAGGTGGCTGCACGTTTGAGCCGCATCTGAAAAAGGTTTGTTCAGATGCAACAAAATATCAGATATGTAGTATTGCATTGAATATCGTTATTAAATGATTCGAGGTAATAATCTATGATGCAACATATGTTGTTAACTGATTTCATAATTTTGTATGATAATTTGGATGAATTGCAAAGTGTGGAGTGTGGTCCCTAAATTTATTGAAGTCTGTAGATAAATTATTTTTTATAGTTTTAAATTGATTCATGGTTGAAATTATATATTTTGGTTTCAATAGTAAAAATCTAATTTAGCTAATAATGTTTTTTGGATGATTTGGGAAGGCATAATACATGTCCAATTTTTAAAACTATTTCATTCATATTTGGTTGGTATGTTAAGGATGTGGTCTACATCCAAGTGATGTATTATAATTTTTATATAGAATACGGGTATCTTAAATTACGTACTATTTCATTGTAAATAAAATAACAGTTCAAACTAATTGAGAAAAAGATATGTAACTAGAGAGTTGTGATCATTGAATTATCTAATTGTTGTTTTCAATATATTAAATGTAAGCTCAAAAAATGGATATGTTAGCTAGAAAATAGGAGAGGAAGAGAGAGTTGGAGCTGGAAGGAGTATGTACCTTTGCACTGTACTTTCTGAGGGTCATCCATAGGTTTTTTTTCCTCTTTTCAGTGAGATATAATGGTTAAAATTATGATCTATGTTCGTTGCTGTAATTTCGTACTGCTTTTGACAAATTATGACTGCTATTCAAGCAGATTGTGGAAACACATTTTATATCTACACACAGACATTTTATGGTTTGTTCTAACGAATCCAAACTATATGCATGCTGCAGAGGTCAGACGAATGGATGAGGCATAAGGCCGATAAACTCAAAGAGAATGTTCGCAAACTGATTTGGACTTCCAATGACGTGGTTGCAAAGATGAACTTAGTGGATGCAATCCAACGCCTCGGAATTGGTCACCTCTTTGAAGATGAGATAAGCTGCATTCTAAGTGACATACACAAAAGTGAATTTACTAGCTCTAGCCTCCACGAGGTTGCTCTTCGGTTTCACTTGCTTAGAGAGCATGGCCTATGGGTATCTCCAGGTACATATCAGTGTATAAGTTGACGCTGACCAGTGATTTAGTAATCCAAAGTTTAGTGAGGTTTAACAATACAACTGTAGGCATACAAAATTCTATAGAACTTTAATTTTCTATTCTAGAGTTTTAGCAATCCACGCAAAATGTATATATTTTTCAACCTTTTTTTTATCAAGACATATTGGCTTATGAAGTGAATATTTATTTGTTTACATTGCACACCATTATTTATTTCAGTCCAGAGCAAACAGCATAATAAAGGAAACATATGTGGGTAAAGAAAATAAACTTTTGTTCTGTATAAGAAAATTCAAGTCACCTTATGCACGGGAATTCGTCACAAAGTCCAGAATTCAATTAATTAGTCTAAAATTAAACATTCTGTGCCTTGCAGATGTATTTAACAAATTCAAGGCTGATGACGGGAAATTCATCGATGAAGTAGCTAATGAACCCAGGGATTTATTAAGTCTATATAATGCAGCTGACCTCCTTGTTCACGACGAGCCAGAACTCGAAGAGGCCATCTCTTTTTCTAGGTACCATCTTAAAACAATGATGCAGCACAATGACTTGAAACAGCCTTTATTTGATAAATTCAGCCGTGCCCTTCACTTACCACTACCAAGGACATACAAAAGAGTAGAAACATTGCATTATTTCTTAGAGTATGGACAGGAGGAAGGGCATATTCCAATTCTTTTGGATCTCACAAAACTAGATTTTAACATTCTGCAGAGGGTCCACTTGAAGGAGCTCAAAGCCATTTCAGAGTAAGTGTGTATCTATCATATTAATACAATATATATGCACCAATGAACTAAATAATTGTTACAATGTGTATATACCAGTGTTAGTTTCTTGAATCCATATATTATATAACACCTATGTTTAATCCGTATTAATCCTATCATATATAACGATACTCACAATATATCATAAAAATAATATCTAATCATGCACCTGAAATACTTTTATTTTAGGTGGTGGAAAGACCTCTACAAATATATAGGACTAACTTACATTAGCGATCGTGCGGTGGAGAGCTATATATGGTCACACACAATGTTGTTTGGGGAAGGCTTAGCACTCACAAGGATGATTTGTGCCAAGATAATTATACTGTTAGTCATAATGGATGACACATATGACGCCCATGCCACCATCGAGGAAAGCCGGAAGCTAAATGAAGCCATACAAAGGTTGGCTTAGTATATGTTAAATTAATGTACATATGCTTGCTTGATTAATTTTTATGCAAATTAACGTTGCAGATGGGATGAGAGTGCTATCCCTCGCGTACCTGAGTACTTGAAAAAGTTCTACATTAAATTGTTGAATAATTTCAAGGAGATTGAGGATCAGGTGATGGACAATGAGAAGTATAAGGTTGCTTACGCTAAAAAAGAGGTACACTTGTACTACAAGATGATTGAGCTATCTCCACCAATTTATTACAACGAAAAATAATTCGTGGCAATATATTGTACTATCGCAATGATATTTTTTCTGTGGCAAATAACTATACTTAATTTGTTGCAACGATTTACAATCATTGTTTTATTCATTATTTTTGTTGTAATAGGAAATGAGCTATCGCCACAAAAAACATTACTATTGCAAAAAAAATGTTCTATCGCCACACATTTAATTTTTGTGGCAATTTGCATAGTACATGGTACTTTTCACTATTTTCTATTGCCATGATCAACAAATTCATTGCAATAAAAAATTTATCATCTCATAATTTAACTTATTCTTTTCATATGGACACGGATTAGGACAAATTTTATATGAAATTTATAGCTCTCGATGAGATCTACAACTTAAATTTTCATTTGAAATCTTTTAAATACTTAAATTCATGATTCAAATCTCAGTTAGACAGTCTCAAATGGAATTGTATGCATTTTTAAACAAAATTGATGTATAGGTGAGTTGGTCATGGAGAGCGCGCATGAGAGAGAGATCTTGGGTTCGAATCCTGGCCATGACAAGATATCAAAAGAAAACAGTTAGGATGATAAATTAATATTAAACATTTAATTTGGTACGTAGAACTAATGCCACATATGGAGCGGTGGCAATTGTTATTTATTGCAACGATGTGAAGTGTTGCAATATATATTTTTTGCCACATCCATTTTATGGCAATATCAAATTTTATTACAACTAAATAAAAATCATTGTAATAACCTATTACCACGCTATTTATTACCACGGTTAGTAATGATTTTAAGATTATGGCAACATGTATCTATTGCCACAATTTTAGGTTTGATGCTACGATTTTTTTCGTGGCGATAAATTATTTTTCTAGTATACTAAGTGTTTTCCATACATCTATTTTGGAACTCCTTCCTCTGTGTTTTTTTTCTTTTTATGTTTTGAGATCTTCATCAGGTTTCAAACTAGAGTACTATTAATTTTTACAACTTTATTTTTTAAAGTAAATATACTGACATTTGTCATCTTACTCCCCTAGTTCCAGGTTATTTGTTATTTTTTGCAAATTTAGCACCAAACAAAACCTGATGTCAAAAATTACGTTGTTACCCTCGTTAATGACATCCTAATGGTTTATCAAAGCATTATTTACTCTGATTAATAGTTGTTCATGGCTTTCATTCAAAAAAAATAGTTGTTGATGGCTGCATTGATGAAATGTAGAGATAGCAGGTCAAACTACTAAAAAATGGTTTTTCAACGTGGCTAAAGACTAATTTTGCAAGAGGTCAGGCCTTTGGAAATGATCGATTTCCAGAGGCAGGTGGCCGGCTGTCTACAGTCACAGGCGGACAAAACGTATGGCATGAATTTTGCAGGCGGCTGAATTATGTGCATGCTGCCGCCTGTGCAGATTTCATGCTAATTTCAGAATGTTCCCACCAATTTTAATTTTATCTTTCAGACTAGTTTTTAACCGGCTTCTACCATTTTTAATCAATCGGTACATTGCTCCATGAACACAAGTGCATCTGAACAAAACAAATAAACTTGGCCTATCATAAATCCATGCCCTGACTATTATTTGTATGTTCAATTGAAATATTTATGCATCTATCAATTCATATAAAAAATATCGCTCTTTCCTTACTGTACAAATAAAAAGTACTGCTTATTTTAAAATCGAGACAAGCCGATTAATTCAAAACTATCTCAAAGGAACGGTGCAAATATATATTACAAATGCAATCTCTAAGTACTTCATTAATAATTAAATAATTCACATATTTAATATATTTACTATACAAACCAAAATTGTTTGCTATGCAAACAATATTTTTTTTTATGAAAAGTAGGCAAAGTAAATCCACATTACAAAACAATATGAGTTAGCCTAAATAACATGATAAAGTGCCATCGGTCTAGATGTTTGCCTATATCTATCTATCTATCTATCTATCTATCTCTCTGTCTCTCTATCTCTCTCTCTCTCTCTCAGACACACACACATAGTTAGATCCAGAAATTGACCTACATCTTAATCTGAAATAAAATAGTCTTAAATACATCAAATTTGAGAACACACCATTCAAGAAAATTGCAAACAAACCTGGTCTAAGTTGAGCTGAAAGTTGCAATTTAAAATTTATAGACATAGACCAATAATAATACCATTCCTAGCTATATCCATCTCAATAGAGAAATGACTTTAGAAGGAAAACAACTCTCTAACCTTGGGCATTTTCCCATGCGGTTGGCATAGGTGGCCTCTTGTAGAAACATTTTTCCGTGCCATCATTTTCACATCGATCTAGTCGATATTGACAAGCTGCCTGTGGTAATTGCTTTCATATAGCCGGTTGGTTCTGCCGACTGCTTGAGAAAATGGTGGCATTTCTGCAGATGGTGGGTATAGTTGGATGCTTGTTCAAATGTTCATACATAGGCGGTCCTTGATGCCCCCTAGACAATCTTAGGATTGTATTGTCAACTCAAAAAATGCTTTGGATTGTGACAATGACAAATACATTTGAATGCTAGAATGTAATTTCAATCAAAGGAAGTAGATTGTTTTTCAAATAATTAGTGACAAACTTTAGAAATGACGATGCCATGTGTCCTATTGAATCAAGGACAAATTGGAGGTGCAACATCATATATAGTTGGAGTACTGCATGGATAGCTACTTTGTGGTTAATTTCCTTCACTTATGTGCAGTTCCAGAAGCTGTCCCATTATTATCTCCAGGAAGTTGAATGGTTACACCAGAATCACAAGCCAAGCTTTCAAGAGCAGGTGGATTTATCTACCAAGACATCGACGGCACATTTAATGTTTGTGTCTACTACTGTTGGCCTTGGTGATGCAGTAACAAAGGAAGCATTGGAGTGGGCTGAAAGCAGTACCGCAATTGTAGCCGTTGGAAAAATAATGCGTTTCATGAATGACATTGCAGCATTTAAGGTACAATTTACTCATATTAACTAATGTGTTCAGCTTATTAAAAGTAAGCTTTTAATGCATACGAGATTGTTCCACAAAAGATTGATCATCATAATTTCCAAATTCATCTTGCGGTTTCCCTAAAAAAAGTCAATTTGCGGAGAAACGGCAAATATTCACACAAACGAAAGAAAAACATAGCAATCAAACAAATGAGTATAGGCATGTAGCGGTGAGCGCGAGCTACATGTGCCACATGCAGTGAGCGCGTTTGTGAGTGATTCGTGCAAAGGCACTGTTGTTGGGTTGTGTCTCATGGCTCAATGGATTGTTTTTCTTGATTGCTAACCACAATTGGCGGGCGTTCACTCTTCAACACTAGCAATCACATCCACAAGGGATGCTAGCGTGATGTGGGCGGTGACGGTGCGCATGTGCAGGCGAGGGGAGGGTGTGGTGTGGGTGATGGTGCACTATTATGGTAGGTACTTTGTGCAGCGATCGGGGAGAGGTGGTCAGTGGAGGCATGGCTGGCAAGCTAAGGTGGCGAGGGTGCAAGGCAGTGGCAGAGCCACCACCTAGTGACCCATGTTGGCGGCCCGAGCTCGTCGGTGAACATAGTGTATAATTTTTATATTATTATAGGAATTGAAAGTAGAATTTCTGTATCAAATACACTAGTCATAGTTATTTCCTAGGCTAAAAAAATGTTTTGGCTCCACCACTAGTGCAAGGCACCTTGGGCAGCCTTAGCCAGTAGACGATGATGATGTGCAGAGAAACTGGCAGCTGGGGGCTGTTACAGGTCCAGCGCAGCAAGAGAAATGTGGTTAGGGAAGCTGAATTCTGTAGGCAGGCCAGCTACCAGCGGGGATCTATGGTTTCTCACATTCTCTAGTTGTGAATTGTTAATTTTTTATCGCTGTTTTTTATTTGAGATTTGAGGAAACATATAAAGAGAAAAGGGATAGATGCCTTTAGATTTTAACTTTTTTAATGTTATCTATCCCTAAACACGTGACATTGCTATTATATCTTCTCTATTTTATATATCCATATTCTACAAATTAGTAAGCTCAATGAGTTGGTGACCTCTTGTTTTGCATTCTCATTTGTTGTGATACTTTTTAATGGCTTACTTCGTCATGCATGTCTGCAAATTGATTGTACTTGCTTACTTCGTCATGCATGTCTGCAAATTGATTGTACTTGATCATTGGGCCACACCTAGTGTTAGTTCATCCTCCACCACTGACTATACATGATTCATCTAAATAGGATGCTAGAACTGCTTTGTGACTTTTAAGTACTTTGCTAAATTATGGATGGATAGTGTAATTATTATAATTTGTATTTCATGTACATGCAGCATGGAAAGAACAAAGGGGATGTAACTAGCACCATGGAATGCTACATGAATGAGCACAAGGTCATAAGCGACGTAGCCTTCATGAAGCTCACTTCATTGATAGAACATGAATATAGAACAATAAATCAGGCCCGCTTCGAACTACACAAGTCTCTCCCAGCAGCACAACGAGTTGTGATCCTTGCTGTTGTTTCGTTAATGTTCTTCTACGATAATAGGAAGGACGTATATACATTATGCTCAGATCTACGGGAGACTATCAGGAGTCTCTATGTCGAGCATGCTCCCATGTAGCCATGTTGTATTATCTTATATTTTCCTTTTACTTTAAGATGGATACATATCATAATAATTTATATCTTCTAGTTATTTCAGAAATTTCCACAAAGCTAAAGTCATTATTCACACCTAAGTGTTGACCCGATCCTTTTATTTAAGTAACATCTGAGTGTTACATCCACATGTCAGTGACTCAACATGGATAAATAATAGGTTGTGTTTTTGGTACGAATAAGCAATGATCCATTTTCTTAACCATATGGACATGATGCAACAAATGTGGTGCATGCATGCTCCGTGGCTTAAAAATATTTACATGTTTCTTCTTCCACTTGTACGTACATTCTATGATCTCTATTGACTGATTGATTTTGTTGACATTGTCGAATGGCATGGAATTCTTACGCCCTCGGAATTATAATAACTCCATAAGTGCACAAAGGTATCACTATAATGTTTCATCCAGGAAATTTTAAGGTCTCACATTTTCCTCAAGGATGCAGTATTGGTTAACATGTATTGAGAGATAGTATGCAGTATCCTAGCCATTATAGTTTATCAATCTATTCCAAATGAGGGGTTACCCAAGAGAGATATGTATGACAAAATGAAGTGAAAACTAAACCAAACAAACCTTTCCAGGCCTAAGTGATAATTGAGAGCTAAATGAGAGAGTTTTGGAGTGAGTGCTTGATCCCCAATAATGGTCAACTACTAAGATACACGACCTAGCGTAGCAAACTTCAGAGGACAGACATGGCTTGATGCCACGTCTATGGCTTTCTACCTCACACCACAAGAAATAACTTACATAGAGACACTTCTCTATAGGCAATTTGGCATCCACCATAAAAGTCAAGAGTTCTATATAGTCTAGTGTTATACATTTAGAGGCATTTTAAAAATTGCCCTACAATAGCTTTATTGTAGAAACAATCTCAGCATATGCTGGTAAAACTAACTACTCCCCCCCGTTTCATATTATAAGTGGTTTTAATTTTTTTCTAGTCGAACATTTTTAAGTTTGACCAAGTTTATGGACAAATTTAGCAACTTCTAAAACACTAAATTAGTTTAATTAAATCTAACATTGAATATGTTGTGATAATATGTTTGTTTTTTGGTGAAAATGCTACTACAATCTTGGTTAAATTTTAAAAAATAGACTAGGAAAAAAGTTAACCCAACTTATATTATGAAACAGAGGGAGCATTACTTAAATCCTTTTGGCATTCTATGTTTTACATCATATATAAAGGTATTTTAATCTCTACAGAGGCGCTTTTTATGAGTTCAATATATGCGTTAAGTAACTCTATATAACAAACACATGGAACATACAAGCATGTAATGACATGAGGCAGAGATTGCTATGTGTTGAAGATAAGACTGAATTTATCATGAGGTTGATGAGTTCGAGGGTTGGCTAGAGTTATGAAACCCTTTGGACAAAAATGTCATTTCGCGTTAAAATTTTTTGGCTCGGTGCGAATTGGTTCCCGCCACGCTAGGCCGAAAGCTTGGCATAGAAGTTCCAAATTTCCCTTCTTTGCAAAGAAAAAATACATGTAATATCCAAAAATAATTACTATTGAAACAAAAAAATTTCATAAATATTTATGCCACACAACTTCATTACTAATTATTATATGCATGTACTCTTTTATACGTGTGTGTATTATGAATTTAAACTAATCCCATTAAAAAGGTAGAAATATATTATTAGATAAATACTAATAATTAAACTTTAGCACAAAAAAACTATATATTGTTTGATATTCAATTTCAACCGAATTCAATCGGAAGGTAACCTTTCACAGATATTTATACCATGAAACCTCATTACTAACTATATGCATGTTCTTGCATACATATATATGTATTACAATTTAAGAATCTTGTTCACCCGACATATAGTTGAAATTTAAAGAAATCCCTATAAAAATATAGTATTGGATGAAAAAACTAACAATTAAACTTTTCACACAAACAAATATTTGAAAGCAACATGATCTACTGAAAAACATAGTACTAAGTACAGAATTGACTGCGAGGATAAACTTACAAATGAAGACATGGAATTAGCTCATTTCTATTGAGATTAGAATAAACTCACATGACAATTGAAAAATACACACATGACATGTTGGTTATGTGTACAAGATATATGTTGTAATGAAATAATTTAAATCAAAATAATTTTATAAACTGGGATTCAATATGATCAAGGTTTATATGATTTGCCTTGCTGACAGAAAACGGTATCCCAAACCTTCAGCGATGACCATGGTGGATCAAGTGCATAGAGAGTCCACGTGCCAATGAAAGTGTACCCTACGTGTCAATCGAGGCGAGTAGCCGACAAGCAGACCCACTTGACACCACGCGGGCTGCACATGTGGACACCATGTCGCCGCCACGTGGGCAAACGAACACAACCACCAAACGTGCACACAAAGACCGTGCGAACGACTACCGATACCAGGGACAACTTGGGCAGACCGGCAGTGACCAAAGGACGAAGGCAAGACGAGGCCAGCACAAGGCTTGACGATGCAGAGCCGAGGACGAAGACGAGACGAGGGCAGCAGCACACTTGATGTAACAGGGACGACGACCGGGGACGGCATAGCGAAGTAAGGGTCACCGACGACGACAAGGACAATGGACAAGAATGGCTTGACAGAGGGAGGGCGACAACGAGGACGACAACCAGGAACAGCTTGGAACAGCAAGGTGGTGACGACGGAAGACGACTTCGGCTTGCCAAAGACCTGGAGCGGCGAGAGTTTGACAATGGTAGAGCCGACGGAGAGGCCGAGATGGAGATCGGTGTTGCGAGGCCGAAGACGGTGGTGGCGCAGCGGGGTGGCACTCCGGTGATGTTTGAGCAAAGGGGAGACGACCCCGAGGACAGCCTTGCTGCTGCGATGCTGGAGGTGGCGATGGCGCAGCCGACTGGCACTTGGGCGAGGAGGAAGGGCCAACCGGAGCTATGCCGGCGAGACGGTTGGAGAGGCCGGCGCCGGGAATCATGGCCGGCGGCCATGGAGCACGGCCGTTCCGGTTGATTTTGAGCACGATTCGCGGGGTAAATTGAGTTGTATTGAAGAGGAAACAAAGGGAAATAAATCGCCCTAATTAATTTGGAATTAAGGGATTTGAGTTGGCGGATTTGAAGTACAAGGACAAAGCTATAGGTTTTCGGGTGAGAAGGCCGGGCGGGCGGGTGGAAGACAACGACCGCGCGTGGGTGTTGGCGCAGAGGGGAGCAGCGCATCTCGGCTAGGCCGGCTGGTTGGGTGACACGGCCCAGGAACGAGGAGAGTAGGCCTAGGCATGAGGGGCCGAGGTGGGCCAAGGAAGAGAAGAGGGAAACTGGGAGACAGAAGGGAGGGGGGAGGAGGAGAAAGGCTGAGCAGGCTGGTAGTGAGGAGAATCGGACTTTGGGTCCGATTCGGCCCGAAGGACAAAGGAGGATTATTTTTACTATTTTTTAATAAAGTTTGTTAATTGTTTTTGTTGCTAAATAAATATTCAAGTGCTCTAAAAATTCAAGTAAAAATCCAGGATGCTTTTTAGATCGAGGTGAATTTACGAAAAATACTTTGGGCCACATTTGAATTTTTCTTGTATGTTTGTCATTTTCTTTTCAGATTTTAGTAAATTATATTATTCATTTTAGAGAATGATTTTTAATTTGGAATGAATTTATTAGGATGTATAAATAATTTTAGAGTGTTACAAAGGGAGTTCAATCACTCATCATTTTAAAAAAATAAAAATAAAACTTACGATACACCAATAAGTTATGAACTTGTGATGTATGACAAAATAATATTCGTCACAATATCACTGGAATTGTTTATGACGATCTGTATTTGGTCTTAGTGATGACCACCTCATTTTAGTCACTAATCAACACCACCCCCTATTCAACGTCATAAAACGAAATGGCATAGTGACGAATAGCTCCAGTGTCATGAGAAATTCATCATAGAAGGTGATATATGTTGTAGTGTTTATTTATATAATTATTCGACCACAGACTTTAGTTCATACTTGTCCCGTGATAATTATGTACCTAGCTTACTAGATATATGCAATGGCATTGGTTTGGTGTTCATTTATTTGATTGCTCTATGTCATCCGCGGAGATATAGAGTATAGAGTAGTATTTAGTAATGTAACCGCGGTGATTAGATTATTAGATACCATTAAATGGTGCTATATGCCATGGATCTGTAGAGGTGGGCCGCTGACGGTGACTGTTCGGTACGGGTATTCCTCCACGTGCGTATATTGGCCTAAGAGATTTTCCTGGTGTGGGTACTCCTCCGTATCTATTACTAGTTGGAAGGCTATAATTGATTGTTGTAAGGAACTCGGCAATCAGGGGTGGTTTCTCGATATAGCATGAGGGCATAGTTAGGAGGTATTGGTTGCATAATTGTACAATAGCAAGTGTAGACTAAAATGACTATATACTATAAGTACATAAATGATCTTTTCTTATTCTTTCTCTACTATATACTATAAGTACAGAAATGATGCTTTTCTTATTCTTTCTCCACTTAGCTTAGATTATTATTTTAGTGAAAGTATTCTGTTTAGTTCCTTATGTGCTCAATCTATCCTTATACGTGAATTGATGTTGTAGGCTCTCTGGACCTTCCATTATATTTGAGTGATGAAGTGAATAATTCAAGTCATCAAACAAACATAATGAAATATCCGACACCTCGTGAGAATAATATTAGAGACATTGCTGAGCCTTTAACCTGCCAGTTAACTTCAGCCTGAGATGTGCCCGTCAAACCACTCGAAGGCAGTAACCAGATGAGTTACACATTCAGGAGACTTAACAAAAATGGCTAAAGATTTACAACATTTCAAATATTCTTAACTCATACTCATGTGAATCTAGTTCCCAGGATGTGCATTAGATTCACACTTTCATCATAAGCATGGACATACATAGCAAACACAAATAAGATAAAAGGGACTGAAAAGACTTACATCAACTTAATAGTTACATAGGCCAACCGGCCAAATAAACATATTAGAGAATAGCGGAAGCTTGACTACCCAAACACAAGGACACCGACTAGGGGTTCATCCCATTAAGTTCTCATCCTAGAAGAAGCAATCGAAACCCGTATTGTCGGTGACATGGGACCG